CCATCCCTACCCCCCAACCAAGCCCAGTCCCTGCACTCTAGCCAGGGCAACATAGTGAGACTCTGTCTCAAAAAAAAAAAAAAAAAATGCAGTTAGTCTTTTCAAAAGAGAAAATATTGCTGCAGAATTACCTGTGCTTTTTTTTCAGGCTTTGGCCAGTACAATGATTGCATTCTTACAACCCTCACACCGATTATGTGGTCATTGCCGAGCGCCCCCAGGGCCTCTTGCTGCAGGGTTTCTGGGAGAGGAGAATTCTCTTCTTCTTGTAGCTGATTTCATGCTTCTGTGTTCAAATTCAGGAATGCTCATTTACTTCAGTGAGTGTGAATTTCTAGGTTGAACGCTATTTACAACTGTCTATGGCTGTGATTAATCATATGAGGTCATTCCTGCCCTCTTTTGTTCTCTAAGTTTCCCCCTCTGGCTTCCCTGTTACCAGGGCAGGGTTAAATGTGGCATTTAAGTGTGCTGGTCTCCCAGTCTTCGCCTGCCCGCCGCTCCCACCTGCAACGCCCTCCTGCCTCCTGCCTCCTGCCTCCTCCGCGCTCACTTCCCCCCCGCAGCCCCGGCATCTGGTCCACGTGGTGCCGAGTGGCAGGACCTCCACTGCTGGCACTCACAGCTGTGTCCCGCTCTGAGTCTGCAGGGCACGTTTTCATGATGCTGTACGTGTGGCCTCCAAGACCCGGGGAGATCGAAGAGGCAGGCATGATTCTGATGTTAAAATGGAAAAACATCAGGAACACGGGAGTGGCTCATGGAGTCAGGGCTTGGACCCAGGCCTGTCAAGCTACAACACGGCCCTGAATCCTCCTCATGTGGTAGTTTCTCCTGGTGCCTTTGCTTCTTGAGTGCAGGGGTCTCTCCTATCTCTGTGGTCTTTGTACCCTGTGTCTAATGTGCATTGAGTGCTCAGTAAGTCATGTTTTGGCCAATTATTCTCTTTCTGGAATAGAATGTTATGTCTTCTAATTATTTAAGATTGAGAACATCTTTTATCCTCTTTCCCTCAAATATAAAGTTGGAACCTAAATCGAGTGGTTTATGCCAGCGTCTCAGGCCAAGGGGGCGGGTGCTGCGGTGGGGTGGGTGCCGTGCTGGTGAGATGAGCTGGTTCTGAGTTGGGTTGGTTGGGGTGGTCTCCTCTAACCTGCCTCTCCTGTTTGCCACCCTCCCCCCAGGGCTGCCCACATACCTGAAGTCCCTGCGCTGGGCCCTGGCGGTCATGGCTGTGCTCCTGGCAGTCTCTGCGGTCGCCATTGTGGCCCTGGCCTCTAGAGCAGGTAGGGTTCGCCCCCACTCCCCACCACCATCCCCTCTTCCTGCTGCTCCACCAGGGCTGTGTCCAGCTCTTGTTCCACTTCGAGGATTAGAAAGTGGCATCCCCACTGGGAGGTGCAACCTAAGGACATGGTGCTTGTTGAGCAAGCTTGCACCCTGACAGGTAGTTGGGTGCCAGCTGTCATTCAGGGGGACTTTGTGCACCGCACAGACTGTACAACCTGCCTGGGAGGATCCGTGCCTCCAGATTTGCCCCGTCAGCCAAGGTGGCAGCCAGGTTCATTTGTTAACGTGCGCACTGTTCACCCTTACTCTGTGCTTGCAGGCGTCAGGTGCCAGCCATGCCCCCAGGGCTGGATGTGGTCCGAGGAGCACTGTTACTACCTCTCTGCAGAAGCACAGGCCTGGGAGGCCAGCCGGGCTTTCTGCTCAGCCCACAGTGCGACCCTCCCCCTGCTCAGCCACACCCAGGTGAGAAGGGGGTGGCCAGTCAGTGGAGGGTTGGCGGGGGTACATGTCATTCCGGATCTCAGAACCCTAGCACTGGAAGGAATCCCAAAGATCTAGTCCAATTCTTCATCATAGAAGTCACCAGACCCAGAGGAATAAAGTGACATGCAGGGGACCAGATGTCACATCTCCAAGGTCTTCAATTTGCTCTTCATTCTAAGAGGTAGAGACGGAGCTGGGATGCTCCCATTCAGCCTGGCGCTTGCACAGTTAGCAGTGAGCTCAGGAGCCAGTGCGTGCTGGCCCAGGCCTGCTGGGGGAGACACATGTGTCCTCTCTGGGAGGTCACATGGAAAATAAAGCACATTGGGTGGGTATACCGGTCAGCTATTGCTGTAATAATGTTGCATAACAAATCGTCCCAAAACTCCTCCATGATTTACGACAATAAGCATTTATTTCTTGATAGTCGGGCCGTGGGTCGACTGTTGATAGTCTGGTCTTGGCAGGGTTTGACTGGATAGCTTCAGGATGCAGCCCGGCCAGGCCTGGCTCGAGGCTGCAGGTTGGGTTTGTGTCTGCCACGAGTCTCTCGGCCTTCTGCCTGAGTGGGTCTCCATCAGAAACATGGCAGAAAGGCAAGAAGCCAGCCAAACCGCGCAAGCATCATTCAAGGCTGCCGCTTGTGTCGTATCAGCTAACATTCCAGTGGCCAAAGCAATGGCATGGCCTAGACCAACATCAGAGTGTCAGTGTAGTATGTGCCATGCCCAGGGGAGAGGGGATGAGGGGTGAGTGTTTGCTGAGTAGTAAGCTAGTGTTTCTTGGCCTTCTCCCCTGCTGCCCTCTCCTTGAAAGCACCACGCTTTCCTGGGTCTGTGAAGCATTCCAATTGTGCACCTTCCAAAACCATGTTGACATTTCTCATCTGCTGTTGTCTCCTCCGTTCTTTTTGTCTGTCTTTTCCTTGTAGTTTTATCATTTAAGTTCCCGTCTATTCTTATTAATATTTTGTATGACTTTAAAACATGAATGAGCTTAATTTCATTGAATGCTTTTTTGCATCTAGTGGGATGACAGAATCTTTTTTGTTTCCCCCTTTAATCTCTCTTTGTGGTGGTGGTTTTTATTATTATTATTCTTGGCTTCTTGTGATAAACTTCACTTAGTCATGATTTTTTTCTTTTCAAAATATTTCTGGATTTGACTTGTTAATATTTCACTTAAGATTTTTGCACGCACGAAGTTTTGTTTTCTTGGACTGTTCCTGCTGAGTCCTGAATCAGAGTTGACCTGCTCCACACAATAAGTAGGGCACTGTCTATCTTTTTCTCTTCTCTAGTAGAGTTCTCTGGAAGTGCCTGCCTGCATCATGGAAGGATTAGGGATCCAGGCTCTGCCCTGGGGTCAGGGGTCAGGAGCTGCCACATCTGAGGTGACAGGTACAAAACCATCTTGGCCTGGTAGCCCAACCCGCTGGATTCACCTTACCAGCCCCGTATCCCACCCCCTCTTGCCTCTCTACGAATCCTGGTCACCTCTGTTCATGCCGCCTCACCTGGGGACAAACGGAGAGTGGGAGTAGAGAAACAGAGCCCTGAAGAACTAGCCACTGGGCCCATCCCTGCCAGCTGCCTGCAGTGCCCGGCATCTCCTGTCCTGGAGGAGCTGAGAGGAGCCCTCCTGAGAACTCTTGAGAACCCTTGGAAGAGACAGAGAAGAAAGTAAATTCTTCAGAACACACACCAGTATTTCTTTTCTTTTTTCTTTTTCTTTATTCTTGAGACATGGTCTCACCTTGTCACCCCAGGTAGAATGCAGTGATATCATCACAGCTCACTGCAACCTCAAACCCCTGGACTCAAGCGATCCTCCTGCCTCAGCCTCCTGAGTGGCTGGGACTACAGGTCCACACGATCACGCCTGGCTAATTTTTCTATTTTTTGTAGAGATGGAGTCTCTCTATGCTGCCCAGGCTGGTCTAGAGCTCCTGGGCTCAAGTTATCCTCCCACCTCGGCCTCCCAAAATGCTGGGATTACAGGCGTGAGCCACTGCACCCGGCCCAGTATTTATTATTGCTGTATTTTTCCTCATTGAGTGATATGTTCATTACCTAATAGTAATAGTTTGGAAAACAAACAATTAGAAAGTAAGCACTAACAAAATTTTGGAATATTTGCTTTTGGACTTTTTCGTAGGATACATATTTAACTTTTTTTTTTTAAGTGGGATATGCCACTTTGTAATCTGTTTTTTCACCTAACAGTGTGATGAGCTTTTCCCTAGCTCCTTAAGTAGCCCACTTAAACTTGGCTTTTCTGGCCTTGTGCTGGGTGGGGCCATCAGACCACGGCTTTTGAGTCTCCGCTCTGCTGCTCTGCTCCTGGCAGCCTGTAGTAAGCACTCAGCAAGTGGTGTGGTTATTGTATTTATTTCTCTAATTAACTGTTTCCTCATCTGTAAAATGGGGGTAACAAAACTCACTTCACAGGATGGTTCTGAGGATTAAATAAAATAAATAATGCACATGGACTCAGCATGTTGACAAAGAGTAACAATAACAGCTATCGCTATTGCTGATGTTGTTACTAGCAGTAATACTATTACTAGATACTGTATTTAGTTTGTTTCTACTTTTCTTTTGCCACCTTAAATAGCACTGTGTTAAACCATTGATACTTAACATTTTTGTGCACGTTTTTTTCACTGTTTCCTTGGGATAAATACTTCAAAGTAGAAACTGTAGATCAAAGTGTATGTACATTTGTAATCTTTTAAGTTACAATTTTTGAGGACCTATTATGTGAAAAGCCATGTTGCTAGATCTTAGAATACAGTGGTAAATAAAAACAGATATGGGGCCAGGTGTGGTGGCTCCCAGTACTTTGGGAGGCCGAGGCAGGAGGTTCGCTTGAGGCCAGGAGTTTGAGACAAGCCTGGGCACAAAGCAAGACCCCACCTCAACAGAAAACTTTTAAAAATTAGCTGGGCACGGTGGCGCACTTGTAGTTCTAGCAATTTGAGATGCTAAAGCAGGAGGATCGATTGAGCCCAGGAGTTGAAGGCTGCAGTGAGCCTATGATCATGCCTCTGTACTCTAGCCTGGGTGACAGAGTGAGACCCTGTCTTTAAAAAGATGAAAATAAATTAATTAAAATAAATTTAAAAAAAAACTAAGCATGGCCCTTGCTCTTGGGGTGCTTATATTCTGGTAGGGTAGACATCATGAGTCATTGACACTTATTGCAAAACTGCTCTCCTGAAAGACCTTCCACCTTCCCACCGGCACTGTGTAAGATCGCTCATTTCTCCTACACTTTCATTATTACTGGGTGGTCAGGTCTTCTCGTTTTTCTGATATTTTTTAAATCTTTCTTAATTTGATAGGTAATAGAGATGACTCTTGTGCATTTCTTTTATTTCTAAATAAGCCTAGAGCATGTCTCATACTCGTTTGGCTATCCGGACGTATTCTTTGAATCGCTTCTCCATGCCTCATCCATCTCTTTCGGGATTGCTCAGTCTTTTTCTTGTTAATTTATAGGAGCTCCTTTGGCTGTCAGGCTAGTACATAGGGACGTACACCCTTAGGCACAGCTGTGCTGTAAGGAATCTCCACTTCATGAGCCCTGCATCGTCCCGGCCCTGGTGCTGGGGACCAGGCGTGCAGAGTGAGGCATGGCCAGGGCACAGTCCGGTGGGAGGCCTCTGATCTTCCTCCTCGTCCATCAACCTTCCAATTATTACAGCAATGAAACCTTTTTTCCAAACCTATTGCATTGGTTTACTAGGGCTGCCACTGCAAAACACTGCAGACAGGCCGGGCGCGGTGGCTCACGCCTGTAATCCTAGCACTCTGGGAGGCCGAGGCGGGTGCATTGTTCGAGCTCAGAAGTTCGAAACCAGCCTGAGCAAGAGCAAGACCCCGTCTCTACTAAAAATAGAAAGAAATTAATTGGACAACTAAGGCTGCCACTGCAAAACACTGCAGACAGGCCGGG